GACGTAGCGGTTATGTCCCACGCAGTCGACTATGGCCTGAGTCTCAGACCTGGTGGCTTGAAAATCACACGTGTGTGGGGGGGTGGGTGTCCAAGATCCTGGGAGGAGGATGGAAGAGAAGGGATGGTGGCATGGCCATCCTCTCTGAGAGGTGGATTTCTCATTTTCCCTCACTGTCTCTTTCTCTCTTTCTGGTGGGCGCAGGTCACTAAGGCAAAAACATCTAAACAATAAAAACTAACAAAAAGAAACGCTTTGGACTCAGTCTGCTAGGTTGTCATTGGGAGCCTCTTCCATCGTCCTTCCTAACTCTGCAGGAAGGTGGGACAGGTGGCATGTGTAGGTGGGGGTGTGGAGGGAAGAGGTGCAGGGACCACAGCTGAGAGCCAAGCATGCTATGAAAGCCTTTGACCACATGTCAGCACCGCGGTCACCTTGGGGACCTCTCAGGCATTCGAGAAGATTCACATAAGGGCAGAGCAAGGTGAGCACTGTGTGGACAGAAAACTAGGGCACTGAAATGAAAGCTTTCTGGAAACAAAACCCAGGCTCCTGCTGTGTTCAAGGCACCACCGAGCTGCAGGGAAGGGGCCTTGTGCTCTGCTCTTGGCGTTGCTCTTTAGGTTGGGCACTGAGAAGAGGGCATCTCTGAAAACACCCCAAAAGAGGCCGAATGGCAGCCTGTGCAGATGAGCGTGGAGGGGAGACTCCCCTGGGTCTGCTGCCACTCGCTAATAGGTTCCGAAGTGGCCAGTGAAGGGGAGATAATCACCCTCGCTCTGCCTCCCTGCCCGCGCGTCTCCTCACTCCAGCGAGGTCACTGCATAATAAACTAGCTTCCCGGGAGCTGGGCTGATGACAGAGGTCCCAGGTGGCCCTTCCAGACCACAGTGTGCAGCCAGAAAGACCAGATTCTGTGCATCTGAAGAAGGCAGGATTAATACACCGGAGGGTGTATTTAGGAAAAGCGAGGAGCTGCCTCCAAGCGGCTGGAGGGCAGAAAGGTGATGGCCCCCACCCCCGGCCGGCTCGCACCGAGCAGGAGCTGGACGGTCCCATTCCACACTTCCCTCCGCTGTCTAGAGAAGTCTATGGTGCTAGCTCAGGATGTTTGACAAAGCAGAACATAAAAGACATAGGCTGGCAAGGAACATCTGAGAAAACCAGTTCATGAAATAGCTGTACGTGTGCTTCTTCAGTAATTCATTCAATAACTGGGTCTAGCGGGAGATTTAATAAGCACCGTAATTCGGAGTGAGAGATGATGACAAAGGCTCATTGCTAGCGTCTGTAACCACTGTGGTAAGCTACCAGAGCCTTGGTGAGCTCCCCGGTCCATGGCGAGGTAAGGGTCATATTACTAAGGCTTGCCGTTTATGTTCTTACAGGAAATGCTAAGTTTCCGCTAGAGATTAATGGTAATAAAAAAAGGTCACTTTTTTTCCTAACCAAGACCACAAGCCTTATAAACTCTGTCTACAGATACCTTGGTGGGGTGGGTCTGTGGACCCTAGGCTAAGAACCCCTGGGTAAACATCAAAGTTATTTTCAAAATCACTAGAAACTAAGGGGCCAGCAGGTGGCATGGCAGCTAAGGCGCTGGACTCCCACGTGGTCAACCACAGTTCGAGTCCCAGACCTGTGAGCTTGCTTTCTTACTTTATCTCTCTCTCCCAGACCTGTCAGTGTGTTCGCTCTCTCTCTCTCTCTCTCTCTCTCTCTCTGAGTGCACATTCGCTACAGCAAATTTTCATAATAATAAATAAAATAAAATAAATAATTCTTAAAAAAAATAATAACTAGAAACTTTAACTTCATCCAGCCATTCTGGGTCAGAAACGAGCCTTGCAATCATGGTCTACCCATCCTAGGAATCCCCCAGCACCCACGGTCAGCGTGTTAGGACACAGGCAGTAGCTCTGTGTCCTACAAGTATCCCAGTCCGTGGTGGAACACATCATGCCCCGGAAACCGCTGTGGGGGTTCCAGAAACCTGTTCCCCAAGCCCTGCATCTTCAGAGAGTTTCCCAAGTCCTGGCCTCCTTGTCAACATGTGCCAATACATTGTACAGCCCTGTCCGGGCAGTCACCTGCCACCTCTCACAACCCTCCTTTACTGTCTTTGAAATATTAATCGTGTTGTCTTTTCTCTCTGTACTTTATCTGGGTCAGGGACCAAGTGAGTCTGAGCACAATGGCAGCCGAGCCACTGTGAGATCCTAGCTTCCCGCGCTCACACCTCCTGATTCAGCCCAGGTTGTTTGAATCCTGGCCACCAAGGGAACCAGGAGAGAGCGTGGGGACAGGCTGGGAGCAGCATATAGTTACCGCGCCCCGATGGAGACAGCGCTGGGCCGCTAAGGCGTGGTGCGGGCACCCGCATCTGATGTAATAACTCAGGCTCGAGGCTTAGAGAGCGATGCTGGGGTCTTTATTTTATTCTGCTTTTTTTTTTTTTTAATTTTGCTGGAGGATGCATGCACTCACTGAAGAGAGACACAAAGAGAGGGAAGCTGATAAAACACCCTCCAGGGGATGGCCACACCGCAATCCCTTCTCCACCCAGGATTTTGGGCATGCACACTCATGCTCTTTATTTGCCAACACATTCTCATGGACACCTCCTGGTTTCCAGGCACTGAGTCAGTGCTGGGAATAACTACTGCACAAGTAAGGGGCTACGGAAGGTGAGGCCCAACTGCAGGAAGTGTTCTATAACCCTTTTGGAAGAAAGAATATGAGAAAGAATAATGGGGGAGGGGGGGTGCTTCATTTCATGCACCAAGAGGCAAACCCTTCTTGGACGTTTAACCAGAAAAAGACCCAGAGGGTGTGAAGGAGCCACCTGTGGGGCTTAGTGTCTTACGGGAATGGTCAACTCCAGGGGAATGAGGCAGCTGACAAGGGGGACGCTGAGATGCAGGAAGACACTGCTCAGCCTTGGCTGGAGAAGTAAAGCAGGCGAGGGGGGAGTGGAGTGGCTAAGCTCAGACTCCACTATCAGACCAGCTCAGCCCAAGTCTGGCTCTCAAACTTCTCTAGCTGGGTGAACTTGGGCAAGTCCCTTACCCTTTCTGGGCCTCAGTGTCCTCATCTGTAAGTGGGGATCAGCGTGTAGCTCTTTCATTCGGAGGTTCGCTGTGGTAAGAAGTATGCAGCACTGTTGCCAGTTGATGGCATAGCGGCTGTGTCGCTGCACTCCCACATGGCCGACAGCGGTTCCCATCCCAGACCCAGTGGCTTGAAACTCACACTGGGTGCATGTGCATGCCCAAGATCAGGAGGAGAATGGAGGAGAAGGGATTGTGATGTGGCCACCCCCATGGGGGGGGGTCATTTCTCACTTTTACTCTCACTGTCTCTGTTTCTCCAGCGAGCGCACATGCACTAAGGCAAAACCCTCTATTTAAAAAAAAGAATATAAAGCACTTAGAAAGGAGCCTGGCACAGAGTTCGAGCAACGGCGCAGTGTGCTACAACTTACTCCAGTGATGCGGAATTTCAGGGAGTAGAGAGCCATCGGGTCTGTCTGTAACAGACTCTGGGCCACAGCGCGGCTACTGGTTGCCAGTAAGACAGAGTTGGAAGGGAGCCTGGAGGTCGTTTGCACCAACAGCCTCCCCAGTGGTTCTCTCCAACGGGACAGCACCTGGAGGTCGCCCCTGAGGGCAGAGGAGTGGCAGTCCCTCAGGTGAGCTGGCAGGAAAGAAGACTGACAGGCAGCAGGCTACCGCTTCTGGAGAAGGGCTCCTCTAAGCCCAGCCAGTGGGAGCCCACCACTCTCCTTTCCTGATCATCCCAGGGCCCACACCCCAGTGCCCAGCCAGCTCTGATGCAGCCGATGTCAATGCCGCCAGTGTCACGTTCTCGAACGGTAACTGCCTCAAGGACAGCAGCCATTTCCCTCCACGCTCACCTCCTGGAGGGCACAGGCCCTGCACCCCGGCTCCTCAGAGCCTTTGCATCACTGACTGGAGGAAGGAAGCCGGGACTCCAGCGTGTCAGCGCCTCTCCCAGATACAGAGCGACTAGCAACCCGGGGTGTAGGAGGTCACTAAAGCACCCCCTACCCCAGGGCCGGCCTCCCTCAAGTCACCTTAGCAAGACTCCTTCCTCCCGTCCGGCACAGAGTGGTCTGCACTCCCCACTCCCAATGCCTCCTGGAGCTTAGGGGTAGGGAAGCCCCCCAAGCCCAGTCCCCAGACCCCTACTGTTGCCCATGCAGTGGGGAACCCCACCCATTTCTTGCCCAAAGGGGTTCTAGGGACTAGCAAATGCTTGAGATAAAAGCCTTCCAGCCCCCAGGGACCTACGTCTTCAGTGACAACTTGGGAGAGGACACAGCATCCCCCTCTGGCTGGGCTGGAGGTGACAGCTGCCAGGGGGTGGGGCTGAGATCTGGCAGGGCTCTGCAGGACCCTCCTCCCTTCTGTCGCCTCTCCAGACCACAGGTGCTTTTCCTCCAGCTGCCCCTCCACCCCATGCGAAGAAGGCAGCAGCCATGGCCCTGCTGGTTTTCAGGGGAGTACCCTCCTCAGTTATGCCAGAGCTCGCCCTACCCCAGCCTCAAAAGTGCCCTGTCCTCGCCCTCTCCCGGCCCCCATGGGCTTCCCCCAATTCTGCAAGCTTCTCCCGCACAGTTCTCAGGGTCTCCCCACCGCCCCCTCCCAGGGTCCCAGGAGTCCCGTTCTCCTCCGGACCTCCCTTTCGTTTCTCGGCTCCCAGCCCCCCGCTCCTACCCAAGTCCCGTTTTTCATCCCTCCCCGTTTACATAGCTCTGTCCCCATTCCTCTCCCAGCCCCTGAAGCATCCCGACCCCCAGTCTATCCTTCACGTCCCTCCTGGGCCCTGGAGCACGTCTGCCATCCCCCCTCCCAGCCACGGTCTATCACGTAAAGGAAAACCGCGACTGTCATCCCCCGCCCCATTTCACCGCCAGCGCGACAGCCAGGACCCGGTCGCCTCACTCGGGGGAGGACCGGGCGCCGCCCCCCGCTCACCTGTTGGGCCGGGCGAAGCACACCCGTCCTGGCCTTCTCCGGATCAGGGTCCTGGTCGCGTGGCAGCTGCCCCTTCTTGGGGTGCATATGCCGGCACAGGCAGGTGACCCCGCACAGCGCGAGGATGCTGGTGGCCGTGCCCAGAGTGGCGCCCAGCGCGATCACGGGCACTGAGAGTACCATGGTGCCCGGTCCCCGCACGGGGCTCCGTCCCCACCGCGCACCTACCCCGGGCCAG